CCATATAGAAATCAATATAATAAAAAAACAATAAAATTTGTTTTGACTATGTTAGTTGAAAAACAATGTTATTTGTTTATTATGTTTTAGAAATATAATAGAAGCCATTATATAATAATCCACGCGTCGCGTGGACTAACACCTAGTAATAATTAACTTTGACTTAGTTTCAAAGTGGCAGAAGTATCACATTACATGTTAAAAATATAAACTATATATACAAAAAGCATATACAGTATTATTAAATTTTAAGTTTAGAAAAACCTGACAGTATTATCACATTTCATATAAATTGTTTTTATGCAATGTGATTTTAGAATATATAGGACTAATCAGTTCTCTAACAATTTTTTTTTTCAATGTGATATTAGTCTTATATGTTATAATAGATAAAAAAAAATACTGAATTTAATGATGTGTCTATAATTTGCATGTTTTCTGCATTCATTCATCATCGTTTTAAGTCTAGTTTCATAACATTTATCACTGTTTCATATCATTCTTCATCATTCTTGCATACTTTGCATGATTAGGATAGGTTTGCATACATTCTGCATTTCTGAGTTGCTTTCAGGTGATTTGGAGCTATTGGCGATCAAATTGGAAGAAGCGAACCGGAGTCAACCAGACTATACTCGACCACAAGGTCAAGTGCTTCCAGCCACACTTACTCGACCTTGTGGTCGAGTGACACCAGCACCAGTCTGCCTTGACCACTCGATCACACCACTCGATCACACCACTCGATCCCGAGGTCGAGTATTCTCAGCCTTGTCACTTCCCTGCCACTCGATGACAGTACTCGATCATAACACTCGACCGCGAGGTCGTGTGTCCACAGCCATCACTTTGAGAATCACTCGACCACACCACTCGGCCATTCACTCGATCGCAGCTTCAGAGTCTTCTCAAATCCACACTCAACCAGACAAGCTGAGCATAAGGAAGAGAAGAGGAGAAGAAGAAGTGTTTGGAAGCGGTCTGGAGTTTCACTCGATCACAAGGCCCAGCTTGGCCCATTATCAATTTACGGGCCGATTGAGTGGATTCACGACCCATCTCTTATCGTTTTTATCTTGTTTTGTATAAATAAGTCTTCGAGGGTTTTGTCCCGAGACATCTAGTTTTTGCTTCGAGTTTTCATTTCTGTTTTTACCTAGTTACTCTCTCACTTCGCCGCTTTGTTCCTGCAACTTTGTATTCACTTTCAAGTATTTGATATTTTAGTTTTCGTTTCATTCTTTATCATTTCTGTTATCATGTTTTCAATCGTTTCATTGCTATTGTCTTTGATTATGTCTGAGTAGTGACATAGAGTTCTTAAGGATGGGATAGAATGGTTGTGGAATCCGTAGTCTTTTAGATGGTTAAGTTTTAGAATTGATTGAATCCCTTCTGGACTAGTTGAGTTTATTGCTTTTTCTGTCTGATCAACTGGAACTCGATCCAAAGCATTCCCGCACCCAAAAGGTGTTCGATGGAATGCTTGATCCACTAGTTCTAGAGATATGCGTCTCTATCCCAAGGGATTGGCCGTTTAGAGCGTTTATTGACTGTAATAGGTTGAATCGTATTGCCTGCATAGTTAGATTCCGTTAATGGGAATTAGTCTGGGCTAGCTTTGCTTGAGTTCTATCACGATAGTGAATTGATCTGTTGTTGAACCTGTTGTTTAGGGATAGCTTGATTGCGCTTTGTTAACCATCTGAATATGCTAAGGAGACCACTCCATTCGATTACCTCATCCTTAGAAATTTCTCGTCTATTTGATTTCTCTGTTTTCATTGCTATTGATTAATCATTCTCATTGCCTGTTTTTGCATTTCTCACCTGTTGTTACCAACATACTCGACCACACCTAGTGTCTGGCAACAGACTGTGCAGTCGAGTATAGCTGTTACATTTTCTGCCTGTTACTCGACCTGTTACTCGACCACATCCTGCTCCTGGCATCAGCCAGTTGTGGTCGAGTGATTTCTGTAATTCTGTAGAATTTCTGTTTTCTTCATGACCACTTAGAACTGTTACAAAACCAAACCTTGTTTATGCTTGGCTTGACTTAGTGACTTCTGATCACATCTCATCTGTTTGCATCACACCTAAAGTGGATTGACACCTATAGTACTACAACAACATGATAGTGCTTTAGGATTAATTGATCTTAAAAACCTATTATCATTTAATATATCCAAAATCATGACTAAATCTCTTGACAAGATAACAAGATCTCACATCGACCTTTGGAGGTAGCAACAACAATAATCATCTCATATAAGTAACCTTGTCCGCTGATGCGTGTGTTAATTCGCTTCAGTCTTTTACCTCAAAAGACCACACGAGTACTACAAGTGCACCATGAATCGGTTGTAGTATTTAATGATCGAATCCCATAGACAGAGAAGTAGTTCGGACGAATATATTAGAACAAGTAAAGCTAGGACAAAACAATAAAAGGGATTGTTGTTAGTGTCACGGTTGCAATAAGTAAATAAGAAAGCAGTAAGAAAACTGTTATAACGGATGTGAGCAAGATAACAAAACGTAAAGAACACGATACAAATTTAATGTGGTTCACCAACACTTTCTGTTGGCTAAATCCACGGGCAAAGAGATAGATTTTATTGCTGGAGAACACAGATTTCAGAATACAGGGAGGCTAGGTTAAGAAAAGTATTTATAGGGAAGACACCCTAATTAACCCTAGACTGATTGGGCCTAAAGTTACGGGCCCAATCAAATTCAAGTCATATCTAACAAAAGCAATTAAAATAAAAAGCAAGTAAATAAAACGAGTAAATAGCAAGTAATCAATAAGAGACAAATGTTGGGCATTCAAGGGATCGCAGGGGGTTCAATGATCGTTCTACTAAGAAATACTAGAATTAGGTTTGTTTACTTCCAAGTCTCGGACATAAGAAACACTAAAGATCGGCTAACCCTAGGTTATAGAATTAGTTGGCTAAAATCCTTATACTCCGTTACTCAACCTACGCAGGCAACGACTCATATATCAAAGCAATAAGATCAAGTTTGATTCTGGTCCATAAAGCCCTATAACTAAGTGGTGTGTGCTTGTTATAACACGATATACACTCGTAAGCTAGGTTCGAGCGTATTAATTAACCTTGTGAGAGACTTAAACACTTGGAATCACGAGTTAGGTCATGAATCTAACTACATGCATTAAGAGAAAAATTACTTAGAAAGAATAAATTGTAAACGATCAAACAGAACCCTAAGTATCGCCACCTAGACGATCGATCATGTCCCTCCTTTGATTAACCCTTTAAACCCAACTAGAAAACTACTCTAGCATGGTTAAAGAGATCAGCAAAGTAAGGTTTGATAAAATCATAAGAAATTAGATGAATAAGAACTGAATAGGGTTTAGAGATTACTTCTTTGAATGTAGAATACAAGAGGTAAGACTTCACCTTAATAGATCTAAGAGTAAATAAGAGAAAAGAGAGAGATTTGGTGGACTTCAAAACTTCAGACAAGGTAGAGGACGACGGCTGCGTCTCTAGGGTTCTCTTTTGGCTTCTTCATGAGTGCACACCTAGGTTTCGGGTTTTCATCGAATATTTATAGGTCTTGGAGACCAAGGAGTCAGTTTAGGAGTAAAAGCATCTTTTCCCATCAATTAGGTTAAGTGTAGCTCGAGTCTCTGGACCGGTTAGAGGTATTAGTGACCGGTGGTGAGAGTAGAAGGCAGCCCGGGCATGGGCCTGATGGCCGGTGTGGTCTTGAAGCTTCGGAACGGGTGCATAGCTTCTGGCCGGTCTGGACATGTCTTCACTCTTATGGAAAGACTTAATGGATTGCTATGATTCCACTTCGCTGTGAATCTTGACTCTTCTAGCTTTCCATATCCACCGCGATCTCTGGATTTGGTAATCGGAAAGACCTCGAACGGACGCCATACTTCTGACGTACATAAACTGTCTTGAAACGGGTTTTGATCGCCTTTTGGTCTTTAATGCTCAAAAACTCTTAAAACCTTCTTGACTCCTAAAATACTTGAATATCACTTTCTTGGCTCTGAAATCACTCCAAATGCTCCGTAAAACATAAGAAAACAATAGAAAATATGGGCGAAAATCCCATGTTATCATCCGCCCATTTGTAATTGAGTGTTGGACACATTCCTTTGGGCCTTAAAAAAAAAGATTATGTTAGTCCGCTAAAATTTATCCAAATAAAACAACATATTTTAATATATAATAAGTGTCTAATAACTAGTCTTGGACGTTCGGTTATCCAATCGGTTATAGGTTCGGTTTCATTCGGTTTTGGTTCTTTTGGTTCTAGAGTTTAGTATACATTTGGGTATTTTGAAATTTCGGTTCAGTTTTGGTTCTTTCGGTTTTAAATTTTAGTATTCATTCGCTTATTTTGCTTTGGATATTTTCGGATATTTCGATTATTTTTAGATATTTTCGGATATTTTTGGATATTGTTTTGGTAATTTTCGAGTATTTTTACTACTTTAATATATTTTCAAGTATTTTTGATTATTTAGTATAAATAACTAATTTTTAGATATATAATAGTATTTCGGATATTTTCGGTTCTGTACCGATTCGGTTCCAGTTTTTTCGGTTCTCGAATTTAGTATCATTTCGGTTATTTTCAAATTTTTGGTTCAGTTCGATTCGGTTCTTTTTGCTTTGGTTCCGAAGCATCGTAAATCCGAATTGGAAAAGAGTCATTGCAGATGGACACTGCTAGCAATTAGGCGGCCACCTAGGCAGTTAGACTGTCGACTTTTATAACAAAGCTAAGTTATCTTTGTGATTTTCTTTGACTTTAATTTAGTTCAATGAAAAAAAAAAGAAAAAAAAAATCTAAACCTCAAAATAGAATTGCAGTTAAAGGTTAAATCAAAGAAAATTTCTTCTTTTATATATCAGTTTCTTATAGTTTCTTCACTACATTGGTTTATTGATCCTTCTTAGCACCTGACCTTATGGGTGAATTTTAATATAAAGTGCGACTATTTCCACAAATCAAGTTCATTCATACAAACCATACAAAGTTTACTAACAAACAACACAAACAAATTTTACAAGAATTGATAACAACAGGACAAAAAATAAACAAAGATTTAACCATTTTGGTCAAAGGCTACATCGATGCAGACAGGTGAGATGTAACAAGTGAAAAGGTAAGTGGCTTCTGCTTCTTGTATTCATTGTACCGCAAAAAGAAGTAACCCAAATATTCAAACTCAATGGGAGACATCCTTGCCTGTTCCACCAAATTGTTACAAGTTACATTAGCTTAATACAAGTTATTAACAGCAAGCAATATACTTGATGGTTTTACAAGCGCACCTGGATGATAGCCCATATTGCCCAGTACAAATGAGATGCTAATTTATACGCATCTGTCTCTACGAAGACTGATTCTACTTCAGCGATACTGACCTGTTTACACAAACAAATTATAAATAATTTTTACGCATTGCAATTGGCAACACATTATTCTGCAATAACCAAAATTGTTTCAAAAGAATGCAAAAGTAATGTTTTGCAACAGATTACTATTTTCATTAAAAACAAATTGTATTGATTCCAAACTCCCTGATATGTTCTTACCTCATCTGGTTTGTCTGGGTGTAAGTAATGCTTGATGAAATGATATTGTTCTTCTTTACTTGGGTACCTATGAAGAAACCACAATGAGCAATTATGTTTTGATCTCTTGAGGAATTTTTTAGATTCAACAGAAGAAGTCAAGGAAGTTGGACGTACAGGCTGTAATCACAGTCGTATCCTGCATATTCATTGAAGTGATTTCCGATGTCGAAGCCTCTATAGTTGTATGATCCATACTCGAAATCAATCAAGTATAGTTTCTCTGAATATGGATAAAGAGAACCAAGTTAGAAACTAAATATCATAACTACTTACGATTCAGAAGAAGACAATTAAGCCAAACGAAAAGATCATTGTTACCCATCTCTTAAAGTTGGTTCTGGGATCTGGTATAGTACCATCACCATTAAGATCAATTATTAAACAAAAATGTAATTTTTCGGGTAACAAAGTGACCCTATTTTTTAGTGCCTATGTCTGTCTTTATAGTTCTGTTCTTTCAGCCAAGAAAGAAGTACAGAGAAGAAGGGATTTTCTTACCTTCTTCATCATTCAGCATGAGGTTTCCTGATAGTAAATCGTTATGAGCAAACACCACAGGTGCGTTAAGTAAGCCTGTGAATTCCTGATCAATCATCAGAATCAGCAAATACTATCAAACCAAAGCAGAGAATAAAGTGTTTTCATGCACAACTAATCCCAAACACAAATAGTTTAGATTACATAAAGAAGCATTATCAGATTTTTTAACAAGTTACTGCACAGGAGACGAACCAGAGGATCAATTCTTCGACATCATTCAAAGATGGTCACATTTTAGCACATCACGATTGTTTTTGTTGCACAAAAACGACTAAAATTCCAACATGAAAGATATACTATTAAAGGTATTGTCTGGTTTATGTGGTAAGCAATATTGGCATCCACGAAGAACTTGACAAGTAGAATTTTCAAACACCAGAAATGGAGTATCATGAGACATCAAGAACACATACACAAGGCAGAAATACAATATCTTTAATGAGGAAAAGGAAATACCCTGAGCTCAATAATTTCTTTATGCAGTTCTTCAAACGAAATTGTCTCAAAGAGCTTCTGCTTGTCAGGCTCTTCAAACCTAAGAGTAGATGCTGCAAGTAAAGGTACAGGGCAGATATGAAAAAACGCAAGAGCTGATTTGTACCAGTATTGGTGATTTATATAATACATAGCTAACGCTTCATTAAAGGACAGAACATATAACAGCAATCAAAACAAAAATAAACGTAAAACCTTTTTCATAGAACTTGAAGATATCAACCCACAGCTGAGGTTCCTTGGAACCTGGTATGTCCACTTTATGAAACTTTCCAAGTTCTTTGGCAATTTCCGCAGCAATCTTTGGTTCTCTCATGTCTGCCAAACAACAAAGGAGAAATGAGCTTCATTTTAAGTCCATAAAACAGAATTCGACAGAGCAGCTCTTCGACTATTATTACTGTAAATTGATGAAACACAAGACTAGAAAGTCCATAGTTTATAAAGATGTTCCATCTATGTTACTGATGAGCATTTCCAAATCTTAAAAACAGTTTCCTTCAGTTTCATTCCATTTGATAGAAGTATTCTACACAAGGATTGAATTTCCAGGTAAACCACTTAACAACAAGAAGCAATTTATATTTTCTAGAGACATTCTATATTCTGATACTGGAATTTAAAATGACTACCTGATGGCTCTAAGGTTCTTGCATAGATGAATGATTGCACCATGCCATTTCCAAATCCACCAAGCAACTTGGCACCAAATCCGGCAGCCGAGAGATACTTGATAGCCTATTGAAGACGTGAGGAGCAAATAACGAAAAACACAAATGTTAAACATCAAATGATGCAAAAGAATAACAAGAAACACTGGCAGAGAAACCTTTGATATTTCAAGAAAAAATCGAGCAGAAACTCTGCCATGTTCCGACGTAAGGCTCATGCTTCAAGTTGACATCACTAGAAGGAAAATAATTCAAATAACATAGAAACTCTTGGTAACGAAAACTAAGAAACCATAAAAACGGATGCGAACACAAGGGGAAGGTACATATCATAGATATAAATAACGGAAATTACCAGTATCTCTCTCTCCCGGTTAATAACATACTGCGTGTTAGGCCCATAAAGTCGCACTGTTACCGATACTTCTCTATCAGTGCCTTCCTTCACCGAAACCTTGAGCACTGCCATCATGTAAAGATGACATAAAAGTTATCACACAAAGAAAAACTAAGGCAGGGTTCCATCACACATTTCCATGAAATAACTGAACCAAGGAAGAAAATATGAACATTATAATTACTGTAAAGGAAACTCACATAGATTTGTGATGCCTCCAGATACTCTCTCAACAGAGAAGAGTGAATCATCAAGATCTCGCCAATTCTTGAACAGATCTTTACACAACTCTCTGTTACACACCACACAATTGAAGAAAAGGATCAATTACAACAAACAAAAAGGTTCAGGGTAGTTCGGTAAACAAAGAAGCGAAGGAGCTTTTCTTTAACTCTGACTACTAAATCAAGACTCAAGCCATTCATGACTAATCCACCATGAAAACGAAACAATAACAAGAATATGAGTCACAACAAAGCAGTCTTATCACCTTTTTATTTGTTTTCTTATGTTATTTTAATCTCATCACTTTCACTATGTCATCATCAAAGCAACTTTACAACAACCACAAAACCAATCCAAGTGTAAAGAAAATAGCAATAAAAGTCAGAAATCTTCTTCTTCAATCCCCAATTTTAAAGAGAAAACAAAATCAATCTCCAAAATTCATGGAACGAGTTATCAAATCGAAGAAAATTAGAAAAAGGAAACGAACATGATACGAGGAATCATGAGAGGAAGAGGCAAAGACGTATCGACGACGAAGGACGAATATGGAATTTGTTCGGCGTCGTTAGCTTCATCTTCGGCGTTGGCTAATGCCCAGATATTCTTCGCTGCTCCCATTTTTTCAATTTCAAAGTTTTCTCTTCTTCTTCTTCTTCTTCTTCTTCTTCTTCTTCTTCTACAACAATATAAGATTCTCTTCTTTTTTTTGAATCAGATCTCAATTAATTTTGATTCTGTTTGTTTATTTATATTTTATGTCGGCATTATATTCATTTTGATATTAGGGATCAGTCGTTTTAAGTTTTAATTTAACACATATCGTGCAAGTTTGGAATTAGGGATGTTTAAATCTATAGAGAATCTCTCGTTGAATTGGTTTATTTGACTCTATAGACTTTTTTGTTCTATAGGATTGTGATTTGTGAGAAAACAATACCGATTTTAACCAGAATTTTTTTTTTTTTATTAGGACCCAATTAAATTTATTTTACATTTTTATACATCAACTACATTATTATACCGTGACGGAGCCAGAACATTTATTCAGCGAAATCAATAAAAATTAACCAAAACAAATGCATAAATTTTATTAAAATCACAACAATGATCACAAATATAAATCCTAAAGATGGATTCTATGTTTACTCATATCTTGGAATCGTTTTTTGACTGATTCATTTGTAACATTGTCAAATACCTGTTTTTCAACAAAACAAACGAGACAATCACTTAAAAAAAAGGAAAAAACCGTTATCTATTTTTTTTTTTGCCGTTTAATACCTTGGTTTTTAAATTTTGAATAAAAATACCTCATTTAATTTTGATTGTCTTTAAAAACTTGGTAATTTCGAACCCGATACTTAACAGTCGTTACTAGGCGTAACGGAATTATTTAACAGTGTTAAAGTTTAACCCCACGTGTTTATATAAATATATACTATTTGAATACTTTGATTTTAGAACTTTAGCAATGACCTTGCAAGAAGCTAGCTTTTTTCTCATACTGAGACCTTGTCGAAATATAACAACTGTGTGTCAGAGTTGCTGTCCTCACCACCATGTTCTGTGAATTGCCTCCAAACCCTCCAGGCACAATTCATATCCACGCACCTCACAATTAATCTATCTTTGTCAGACCTAGTTTGCTTGAAGTTGAAGAATCGTTTTATTGCATAGATATATAGCTAGCGCAGTTTGCATCTCTGCTTTGGTCCTGAATATCCTTCCAATAAATATTGCATCATTTCTAGGATCATATACGCCATTTTGCACATCTTGCGTCTGCAGGTACTCATCCCCAAAACAAGGCTCACAGTCATGTGATGGCACAACATCACCTTATATTATTTCATTGTAAATATTGGCTAGACTCAGTTGAATAGCCTTTTCTACTTGGAGATCCTCTTCAGTACCTGCTTCTGCAAGTAAACACTCATCTTCTGGTAATGGAACTCCCGGATACCCATTATGTATCACCGCCGGAATATCTTCTTCTGTTTCAAACACTTCAGCCACACTCTCCGGCAGAGTCACAAGTCTTACTGCAGTTGACGATTCTCCCTGCTCCAATACTATCCCACCATGCAAGCCACGGCACTCTTTGTTCACCACTGCATTCCAATAATTGAACTCCAGCTCTTGGTCTTCTCTACTCGGATATAAGCCCCACTCCTCACTCCCACTGTCCTCTTCTCTGAAATTTCCAACAACAGTCAACTTCTCTTTACCTTTGCTACTCTTCAAACCCTGTGCTTCTTTAGCCATTGCTTCCACAATATCCAACTGCGCAACCATCTCCGCATCGTAAATGCTATTTAGATCAATAGCAGAGGAATTTATGTCATGCTCTTCTTGCCCTGCAGTGACCCCAGCACCAGTTTGTCCGACAAACACATAGCCTTGGTTAACTGCATCGCAGCTTTCCACTCCCGCACCCCACTGCTTAGAGATGGGGTCCCGTCATCAAGTCGGATCATGGATTGTCCAGCTGCAATTGCATTTGCAGTTCTTCCTGGAGCCTCTGGTCCAGCCTTAATTTCAAAAGTCACTAAAAAGTTAAGAGATTTAGTCGCAGCTCTCACTTGGAAAAAGGTCTCCACGCCAGTGTCAGTGTTAATTGTCACAAGTGGTGTTTTCCCTGACGAAAACATTGACATTTCAGCGGGTGGGCAGTATGATAACCTGCGGACGACTCCTTCAACATCGTTTTGAAACTCCTGCTCTATGAGACTTTTCAGTGCCTTGTAGGTTATGCCGTCACCTACCATAACATATTGTGCTACACAGTTTTGCTCGAGAACAAACTTCCAACATCCATCAACTGAAGACTCCCAGTCACCCACAACAACAAGTAATGTTGTCTCCTTAACCTGTAAAACCACAGAATATCAGCAAAACCTCATCAACTAAAGATTATTTACTTCTATTTATATAATATCATTCAGTCGTAGACCATAATTCAAATTTCTTGTTCACGAGTTCACCTCTAACACCTACGGATACAACTGAGTCTTCTATAATATTTACCAACTATAATTGTTTTCCCTTTAAAACACACGGCATCAACACTTCTCTTTCTGCTATACACATCAACTCCTTGTTTCGTACACTAATGGAAAACAATAACTTATAACACTAAGACATTGTAACACTACTAACCTGGTTTCGTCTGGACATGATCTGCTTCCGCTTATTCCCTTCCATCACAAACTTCTCGTTTCTTTTCCTCCAACTACTTCGTCTCTACACTTCTTATGTAGAGCTTTTATTTATGCAAACGCAAAAACCCTAGATGGAGAAACCACTTGTCGTAGGCTGAATCATGTCCACAAATTAACATCATTTACCGGGCCGTACAGTGTCTAATTAATCTTCTCCACAAATTAAACCTTTTTACCATTTATTTACTAATATATGCTTACATCATCAACCTACTTGCGAACAATAGTGAACTTTCCCGCTCCTTACATAAGGGTAAAACCGTCCGGTTTTGGTAAGAATTCGGGCACTGTTAACTTCTACTATGCAAAATGCCTGTTTTTGAAAGAACTAAATTTAAAATGCCTATTTTCGATATAAGCTCTTATTTTTAGGTTAGTATTTTTTTTTTTTTTTGACGTCTAGATTTATTATTTATTGCAAATTATGAGAACTGTTACATAGACGATTCTACAACGGACAATTCCTTCCGACCCTTATTAGATCCACGACAGACGACACTTCCTTCTCCATGCTCTTGACGGACACCTTCAATGATCCACGACCTGACGACACTTCTCTCTGCGTAGAATCCTGGCGAACGGCTATAATTGTACTTCGCTGGAGATCTCCTGCACACTTGCCTCCTTTAATCTGCAAATTTATTAATAAATCGCAATATCTGGGACTCGAACCCCAGACCTCTTGGTGTAGAAGCATTAATTAACCCTTGGTTAGTATTCATTTTGTAATTTTTTTTTGGTTATAGCTGCAAATTTCTCTCCTTTTTTTTGTGTATATGGATTTTTTCTCTCGAACCGGTTAAAATCAGATAACCGAGAAAACACCGGTTTGGTTTGCTCTCAAAACTCTAATTACTTTTCCCAGTTCCGAACGGAAACGCCGCAGCTATAGACATCAACAAGCGCACCTCTCTAACAAAGTAACAAAGAGGTATTTTGTCAATCAATACCTTAGCTGATGTGTGTTTTCTTCAACTCTTTGCATACTAAACTTCGAATTAGATTTGTTGGAACAAACTTCGAAGCTTGGAATCTGAAATATCTGATTCTGATTTTTTCCTGTAGTCAAAGATGGGCAGTGAAAATGATAAAGTTAGAGAAGCAAATGAAGAAGAGGAAGAAATAGTCTGCTTGGAGTCTTTCTTCATCAACGATGAGTAATTTTTGTTACAGAAACAAAAAATAAATGTTTGTTTAATTTGGTTGTTAACCTTTGATCAAGTGTCTGGTTTTGGTTTTTCTTATACATGTTTGTTTTGTCTTTGTCGGATGCAGTTATCAGTTGACGAAGTTTACGTTTGGGTCTCATGTTCTTGAGCTCTACTGTCTCCAATCAGCTTCAAGTGAGTTTCTTTTTTGTCTTGTATCAATCTTGCATTATATTTTTGTTACTTAGATGGAAAAAGGAGCAAACTTTATTGGTTAAGTTTTGATTTTTGTTATGATCTGAGCTGATTAACAAAGAGTTATACTTTAGGCTCTATTGGTCATGGAGAACTTCTGTTGTGTGTATGATACTATGATCTGGAGTTACTTATCTGTATTGTAGGCTGGTGTATTCTTTTAATTCCTTTGCCATTGGAATACTATATATGAGCAATAAGAGTTTAGAGATTTTTCGTTCTCTACCCTCGATGTATTTATCGTAAAGCTATACAGTTCTTATGCAACACGATGTCTAATATGTTTGTGGGACAGCTGATTTTGATTTAACAGGGCAGCTGGTTTGGCCTGGTGCGATGCTTATGAACGGTTATCTCTCAGAAAATGCTGACATTCTCCAGGGATGTTCAGTTTTGGAGTTGGGATCTGGCGTTGGTAAGTGCTTTTTTATTATCTCTCTCTAATTTTCATTTGAATGGACAACATTATGTATATCTTGTTTATCCTAGTAGTTAATGGCTAATCACCACTAGTGTCTGTGCCTTCAGATTTCAGTCAGAAATGTTCTATATTGTAAACATCACAACATTCTTGGCAGATTTAGTCTTTGCAGAACACTCCTTGCCTGAATTCATCATCAGTCATATATATAAACTCCTAAACGTGTACTCTTTCGATATTGTAAACATCACCACTCGGTGTTAGAAATGTTGTATATTCTCTTGGCAGATTTGGTCTTTGCAGACTATCTTCGTCTGAATTCACCAGCATTCACATATATAAACCCATAAATGTGTGCTCTTTCTTTAGTCTTTAAGGATATACTGGAGGGAGTAGTTCCTTAATTTGCCATCAATAGATTTTATTCTCGTTTTCATTCCTGTGTAGTCGCTGATCTCTAATCTTTTATAACTCAGGTATAACCGGAGTCCTCTGTAGCAAATTTTGCCGTAAAGTTATTTTTACTGACCATAACGATGAAGTGCTAAAGGCAAGTTTGCTTCACTGAAGATTTGCTCTGAGAATTTATAATTGGTAGAAGATAATCAGGTCTTTTAAATGAACTTTTCAGATACTGAAGAAAAACATTGAGCTTCATGGACATTCAAGCGGTCCCAACCCCTCAGCTGGTGAGAGAACAAAACCAACTAAGCCATGTAGTTCTCATCTTTCATACTATTATTGATGTTCTGTTTCACATTTCTATCTACAGAATTAGAGGCTGCAAAGCTAGAATGGGGAAATAGTGATCATCTAGGTGAAATTTTACAGAAACACAATGATGGCTTTGATCTTATTCTTGGAGCTGATATCTATATCCTTATGTTCGATAACGATTTTTTTATCTATCCGCATAGTACAATGATTGATCTTAATTTTATATATACAGTTTAGATTTTGGTTTGGATTTAGATTAAAAGAAAGACTCGAAGAAATTATTCGGTTTAAATATAAAGAAAATAAAACCTAATTTGTTTATTGTCTGTTCAGTTAAGCCGTAATGGGCACTCCTATGATTTACACGGGAATGAATATGATAGCCTTGACAATACGTAAGCTTTCAGCAATCAAGTGTGCCATTGCTATTTGACAGTGTTGAGCAGCTTCTGCGAATCAGGGGACACGGAAACTGCAAGTTCATACTAGCATACGTATCACGGGCTAGACAGTAAGTTTGTCAGCCACAGCTTTCACATTTTCCTATATGACTGCAGTTTCCATATGATATGAAATGTTGTTTCAGGATGGATTCTGCAATCTTGAGGGAAGGCGCTCAGCACGGGATGCTGATGAATGAAGTTTCTGGGACTCGGTGTACCGTGGGAAACTTGGAAGGGGTCATATATGAAATCACTCTTCAATAGAAGAAGACAGGAATTGTGTTCGAGTAATTTATTTCCCTTGAGACCTGAGAATTTTGTACCATTATTATGATTTAGATGCATACATTTTTGGTGAATCGTTTACTAAAGTTATTGTTTAAGAAGTATGCAATGTCAATATGTGATGGTGGATGCTTTGAAGTGAAACTACATTGTTAGCTGGAAAACTGTTGCAACTAACATATTTCCTTAATAATAGTTGTCATGTCCAATTTCTTCAGTTCACCTACTTATCAGTTTTCATGTAATGCAATTTTGTATCTTATCTTTCCGTTTTCCACATCATAGGATCATCTTTATCCTTGCGTGACTTTGAAAAGTAATTTTGTATAATATGATCATTCCAAGTGCTTAATTGAATATACCTTTTTAAAGTGCGTAGCCAAAATTTTTTTTATATATATATATATATATATATTAAAGGTTATGAAAATCTAGGTATATAAAAATTGAAGTTTCAAGTATAGTAATTGTTATTGTTGCATAGAATTTATAAGTCAAGTCATTGACGAATCTATTGGAAGAAAATTTCAGAAAGCAACTCAAGATTTAAAGGCTCCAATATTATTTTTCAGTCTTGTTATTATATTTGAAAATGTTACTTAGGTAGGTGAAGATATTAGAACATTATTTGCAAAAATGATGTAGTAGCAATATTGTAAATAAGTAAAATACATGTTATTTACTAAAACATACACTAAATTTATGTTATTTATTTAAAACACACTATATCACACTCCACTTATTTATTTAGGGTCCATTTTCAAATAAATTTCCACCATATACTCTATTTAAAATTTGTTGTCCAATCATTAAATAAGGAAAAAAAAAAACATGTTATAAATTGATATATTTATTGAGGTCTAAATTAAATGTTAGTCATCTCCCAATCTCACTCCAAGAGGACCTCCCAACCAGAATTAGAGGAGATAAACTTGACGCGTCCCTTCTTCATTCTGCGTCTTCTTTACGTCACCGGAAAACAAATCTTATTGCCTGAGATTCTTCATCGGAATTAATCCTCCGAAGGCACTTATCTCAACTTTTCAAGGTAAATCTCGGCCTCTCCGTTTTCTATTATGCTGATAGAATTCAATAAAATGTTAGTGCTGATCACGAAGATCGATGATTTTCGCAGCACGATTCTGTTATAATCAAAGAACATTTGTCGTAATTTTTGTGAAATTCGTGTTCAATTTATCGATTTCCGGCTAATAAGTAGAGAATTTGAAGGATAATTTGCAGAATCTGTTTTTGAATCTTGATGTTTTTGTGGTATATTTGAACATATTTATGAGCAATGGACCTGACCATTTTTCTCCAGAAAAAAAAAACTCAAACTATTGCTGAAAAATGCAATGGAATGGGGCAAGACGAGCCCATTCTTTATGGTGCAAGAGTTTAACACACAACACTCATTTGCATCATCCTTCTATTCCAGTCTCACATTTGTTCACCATGTCGAGTTTGGAAGAGCCGCTAAGCTTTGACAAGTTGCCAAGTATGAGCACTATGGATAGGATTCAGAGATTTTCGTCCGGTGCTTGTAGGCCGAGAGATGATGTCGGTATGGGACACCGTTGGATTGAGGGAAGAGATTGCACCACCTCTAACAGTTGCATGTGAGTTGGCTGTAGATTAATTTTTGCTGCATATTTCAACTTTTTGGTTCTTATGCTCTTGAAATATCTGTTAACTTACAGTGATGATGAGAAAAGCTTTGGTATAGAGTCATTCCCGTGGAGAAGGCATACTCGGAAATTATCTGACGGAGAACAACATTTGTTTCGGAATACTTCAATTTCAGGAAGGACTTCCACAGTTTCTGGGACTTTAAGGGAATCCAAAAGTTTCAAGGAGCATAAGTATAGCACATGTAGCAATGAGAATGGCAAAATGCATTCAAGTAATAAGGTAAATCTTGATGGTGGAAGTAGTTTTTGACCTCTACATATAACATAGCCACATATCTAGTTTTCTTTTCATTCCCCTATCTATGTAGGATAGTTTTGTAATCATATGTCTCTAAAATGATTCGTCTTTTTCCATTTCTGCTGAAAAATTTCCCACTACTCTCTCTTATTCTGTTTTGTTTTTTTTTCTGTTTGAAATTCAGATCTCTAAAGGTATACCAAAGTTTGTGAAGATTGTAGAAGTTGGTCCAAGGGATGGCCTGCAGAATGAGAAAAATATAGTACCTACATCTGTAAAGGTGGAACTAATTCAGAGATTAGTTTCTTCTGGATTGCCTGTTGTCGAGGCTACAAGTTTTGTATCACCAAAATGGGTTCCCCAGGTAATGCTGTTATACTGGTGTTTATGAGTTTTGTCTTTCCTGAACTTTCATATGATCATATGTCTGGTGTATCCTGTAAGCATATAGAGCGACCACTTTGGGATTTGCATCTCACCAGGAGTATATTTAGGAACCTGTCTTGAGAAAAATAAAAACTGGCAAAACAGTGTCCTATCACACATCATGGAACCAAAATTTTCGGGAGTACTAGCTTTGCAACTCAAAAATAAATCCATTGCTTGCTTTTACGGTCTTGCTTGTGCCTAAATTCAACTGAGCAACAAGCATCCATTTATGGGAATTTCTTTTGGTTACAATCAATTGTTCTCTTGCTACAAGATATTCAAATTGCTTTTGATAGGTAAAACAATGGTGAAAACCAATTTCCAAGTAGAGGAAGTATGGTGTCATTTAGATTATAGAAACAATTTCTGTAGTGGATGCTTATGTAAAACTAATTTGACTGAATAGAAATTTATACTATTTCGCCTTGTAGCTCGCAGATGCAAAGGATGTAATGGATGCAGTAAATACTTTAGATGGGGCTCGATTGCCCGTTCTGACACCGAATCTAAAAGTGTGTATCATTTATCTCTTAAGGCTCGCCAAATAATTCATGGTTTCTTACTTATGAACACCAACATGGAATGCTTGCTTCTTTTTAGGGCTTTGAAGCGGCTGTCTCTGCAGGTGCTAAGGAAGTTGCAATCTTTGCATCGGCTTCTGAGTCATTCTCCTTGTCAAATATTAACTGTACCATAGAAGAGAGTCTCTTGAGATATCGTGCTGTTGCCACTGCTGCAAAGGAGCATTCGGTTCCAGTCCGTGGGTATGTTTCTTTTAATTTGTCTCTGATTGTATACATTATCTGTTTCCCCTGGATGGTATCTATCAAGAAACGTGCCCAATCAAGTTTTACGTACTTCTTTGCTGGTGGGCAAAACATCTTTCAATTCTTTTACCCAGTTATTGTTATTATGGTTTCTCGCTATTCAACTGCTTGATGGTTTGTCACCTTATCTAATTTAAATGCGTGTTTTGAGTGACCGGTGGATCTTATCATAGGGCCTGTCAGACAGTACTTTTAATCCATATGCGTGATAATCTTATCATAGGGCCTGTCAGACAGTACTATTGTAAAAATACGGATTATAGACCATGAAGAATTTCTCTTTTCCGAGCTTACTATGATAAGTTAGTTCTGGTTTGATGTCTCATATTATTGACCCATTGCGTGTTGTTTGTGGTAGAATCAAGCTGTTGTATTATAATAGCAGACACAGTTGGTTCTAATTACAGTTCATGATTGTTTGCCAATATTGAAGGTATGTATCTTGCGTTGTGGGGTGTCCAGTAGAGGGAGCCGTTCCACCCTCAAAAGTGGCTTATGTTGTGAAAGAACTCTATGATATGGGCTGCTTTGAGATTTCTCTGGGTGATACAATTGGAATCGGCACTCCTGGTAATTTCGTTACTTCAAATCTTGTGTAGTGTATTCAACTACGCCTGTGCACTGTATATGGGAGTGATAAACTTTGAAGACGTTTAGCTTCATGTTAGTAGCTATGAGTCTGCTGCCTAGCCTAGGACTGAATGTAGCCGAATAAAGCGGTTGTTAGTTGGTTAGAAAGAAGTTAGTGAGGGCTGGATTTATGAGAAATGCCTCGGTAGATTATTTTGGGTGTGGATTTCTTGGGTTTTGGGGCTTCGCATTTCGTTGAGAGTTGAGTCTCTCATTAATCAAGTCCCTCTGTTTGGTGAATTGAATAAATCAGGTTCTGTGGTTCCAATGCTTGAAGCCGTGATGGCAGTTGTGCCAGCCGACAAGCTGGCTGTTCACTTCCACGATACCTATGGGCAAGCTCTTGCAAATATATTGGTGTCTCTCCAAGTAAGTCAAGCACTAATAGAAGAATATTTGATTATATATATACAACTTCATTTATGGTTTGACATGTATTGGTGCAAAAACAGATGGGAATAAGCATAGTAGACTCATCAATTGCTGGATTAGGTGGCTGCCCATATGCAAAAGGAGCTTCGGGAAATGTAGCCACCGAAGATGTGGTTTACATGTTAAACGGTTTAGGCGTCCAGACCAATGTCGACTTGGGAAAGCTTATAGCTGCTGGAGATTTCATCAGCAAGCATCTTGGCCGTCCCAATGGTTCGAAGGCTGCCGTTGCCCTAAACCGTCGGATCACAGCCGATGCCTCCAAGATATGAGTTTTATTAGAGGTTTCACAGATCTTAAGTCTTATGAATACGAGAGAGAGTGAATATAACTTTTATATAAAGATGATGTATGAATGGTTCATTGGTATAAACGATGCAATTGAAAGGTACAATGGTTTTACTCTTGGTTCTTTTCAATGTTATTTCAATGTTCTAAAATACGTTATATGCTAGACATACAGTTGTTGCTTATACGGAGACTATAAGGTAAATATTATTTTGTAAAAAACAATATTTTCATATTAAAATTTGTCAGTATATGTGCATATATAATTACAAAGTTAAAATAACAAGAAAAAATCTTTAAAAAATAAGAAATGTATATAAAGATCTAAATAAGTGTTTTGTTGTTTATAAATTTGATTTTATTGATTTTGTGAGGAAATTGCAACAGAGCATCAACTCCCTCCAAATATTTTCTACAATATAAAACTATGCAGTGATGCAAGCAGGGCCGCCCCAAGGTAAAATGATGCCTAAAGCAAAAAAAATTGTTGGCCCATCATTAAATACAGTTAAAAAAAATTTATATAAAAAATACACTGAGCATGTTCAAACTCGGCAGCTCTAAGGAGAGTGTGAAGGTGATAACCACTCTACCACAATAGATATCTGTAAAATGATGCCCCTAAATCATTTTATAGACATCTGATGCCTAAAGCCCATGCTTTACGGGCTTT